TTCAACTTATTTTTTAGGGTAGAGGGAAGGTATAGAATCCAATCTGTAACAGTGCTACTTTCTCATTTTCTTTTGTTTTATAAGGCAACTTGTTATGTGTCCACAATGTGAAGATAGTTGAAAGGCTGTTTGGACAAAGAAGAGTGGCTTCGGGAGGGGAATTCGTAAGGCAGTAAATAGAAGGTTTCTCATGCTTGGAACTGCTTTTAGCTTGCACGTTTAGTTTGGATACTAAAAAGGAGTCCTTCTTGCTCTTCCTCTATGGGATCTGCTGCCCCACATAGAGTCAGCCGTGGAGCAACTCTGGGGGAGAGAGAGAGAAGGCCTTCTGACTGTTGCCATGCTGACAGCCAATGAGAAGAGTTCATTCTCCATGCTGCTTCCTGGCAGAACATGCATTGATTCATTCATTCAACAACATTTAATGAGCTCCTAAAATGTGCTAGGCACTGTTCTAGGTGGGAAGATACATTGGTGAACAAGAAAGACAAAATTCCTATTCTTGTGGAGCTTGAGTTATATTGGGGAAGACAGAGAACAAATAAGTAAACATATAAATCATCTTAGACAATAACAAGCACTCTAAAAAATAAAGCAGGGTAAGAAGGCAGAGGATGCTGGGAGTAAAGTGCGAGGCTTCATTAGGCAAGGTCTCCTCAAAGAGCTGACATGTGAGACGAGATTTGAGTCAGTTATAAGTGAACCTTCCAGGTAGAGGGGACAGCAAGTGCAAAGATCCTAAGGATGGTATGAATTTGGAATGTTTAAGGAAGAAGAAAGCCCACCTGGAGTGAGTGAGGGGGAGAATAGGGAGAGAGGGACCTGGGAAGAGAAGCAGGTGTGATATAAGATGTTTGGATTTTTCTAAAATATGATGGAAGGCTCCAGGAGGAGTTTTGAGCAAGGGAGCGTGATCTGATACATGTTACAAAACACAGACTATGACTGCTGAAGGCGGAGGTGACTGAATTATACGGGGCAAGAATGGAGGCAGAGAGAACCATTGAGAGTCTATAGCTGTAGCCTGTGGGAGAGCTAATGATGGGCTGGAGGAAGGTGGGAGAAGGTGACCTGGTGAGAAGGGAAATTTGACTTGGGATTTTTCTTTAAGGTATACTCACAGGGCTTGATGGCTTGTGTGTGGGGGCATAGGGCAAGCAAGTCAAGGATGACCTTGGGTTATGTAGTTGGAAGTCAGCAGTGAGAAATTTAAGAGAAGGGAAAAGTCAAAAGTCCTCATTTGGCCATATTACAATTTTTTGTCATGATCATTAAAATATTTTTAAAAACAGCTTTATTGAGATATAATTCACATACCATACAATCCACCCAAAGTATACAATTCAATGGTTTTTACTACATTGTGAATATCTGTGACAGTTTTATATCCATCACCACAATCAAATTTAGAGCCTTTTCATTACCTCAAAAACAGCCCCTACACTTTTTAGCCATTACCCTCTAATCTTACCTCCCTAACCCCAAGTCCTAGACAACCACTAATCAGATGTTTTGTCTCTATAGATTTGCCTATTCCTGACTTTTCATAAAAATGAAATTGTATAATATACGGTCCTTTTTGACAGGCTTTTTTCACTTAGTATGTTTTCAAGGTCTGTCAATGTTGTAGTATGTGTCAATGCTTCATGTCTTTTTATTGCTGAATAATATTCCATTATATAGGCATACCACATTTCATTTATCCACTTATTTGTCAATGGACATTTAGGTTGTTGCTACTTTTTGGCTATTTTGAATAATGCTCTAGACATTTATGTATAAGTTAGTACATGGACATATGTTTTCATTTACCTTGTGTGGATACTAGGGATAGAGTTGCTGTACAGCAACTCTGTTTAACTGTTGAAAGAACACTTTACATTCTAACTAGCAGTATATGAGAGTTCCAATTTCTCCACATCCTCATCAACATTTATTATCTATTTTATTCTAGCCATCCTCGTGGGTGTGAAGTGATATCTCACTGTAGTTTTGACTTGCATTTCCCAGATGGCTAATGATGTTGAACATCTTCTCATGTGTTTATTGGCCACTTGTATATATACTTTGGAGTAATATCTATTCAGATCCTTTGCCCATTTGCAAATTGGACCTTTTATTGTCTTGTATTATTTAGTTGTAATAGTTTTTTAGTAGATATAAGTTCCAACCAGATATGTCTTGCAAAGATACTTTTTCATTTCACCGGTTTTTACTTCATTGATAGTGTACTTTGAAGTGCAAATGTTTCTAATTTTGATGATGTGGCCATATTATATTCAAGATGTCTAACAGGTAGTTAGACATGTAGGCCTGGGGTTCAAAATAGAGGCTGGGGATAGAGATGCATCCCTGTATAGATATTATTAAATCCAAGAGGTGGGATGAGCTTAATAGGGAGGGAGTGTGGCTGGAAGGGAAGGGTTGATGAGTGAGTCCTGGGGCTCTCTAACATTTAGAGGTCAGGAAGAAGAGGCAGAGGGATAATCAAAGACAACTACTGGCTCCTGAAGAACGCACGAAGGTAGGCCATCCTGAAGGGGAGGGTGGACTTGGGATCTGGCATCGGGTAAGATGTTCCAGTGTGGCTTTCACTGAGCACAAGTCTCACTGTAACATTCCGCCATCAAGTACGTACATAGCCATGTGTCCCTTCATTGTCACTATAGAAACTTGCTGGGCCCATTCTATGAAGGTCACCTTAGCTTAACGGGCCTACACACTCAAAATCCCCACTCAAGGACTGCACTTATAGGAGGAGATTGCAGTACTTAGTTATCCAGAAAAGATTTATGACCTTATTGAGATTAACTCTTGTTACTGTTAATGCATGTTATGTTGCAAAGCTATGACAGAACATATGTCTTGCTTTATTTTTTAATGGAACAAGCTAAAAGTCCCATCCCACAGGACCGGCTAATTACACAGAGACTTTAATAAAGATAGAGAACTCTGAAGATCTTACCCAGACCACCTTTTCCCCTTGCTGGGGTCACTGTACTTTTAAGGATTCTGGGCTTTCTGAAATCAATAAAAGGGCCTTGGAAACAACAGTCCAAAGCAACTCAAGGCTGTTCCTGCTGAGGTGTACTTAAAAGACTGCAGAGGAGAGACAGGAAATGGCTCTTACAATACAACATGGTGTATGGTGTCCTTGTCCACAAGGCCCAACAAGACTTGGGAAATCCTATTCTCTTCAAGATGTGTGATTTTAACGTTAGCTTTAAATGCAACACGCTCCAGGTGGAAGGAAAAACACGTGGACTCTGTTAGTGAAAATACAGAGTCAAGGCAGACAGATTTCCTTTGGGCCTTAGCTGAATCTAAGTTGGAGTCAGCTGATATCAGTTTACCTCTTAATCATTCAGCTCAACTTCTGGATTGCACAGCAGACTTCTTGAGCTGGAATTTACCTGCTTGTTCACTTTCTTTTTCATCTGCCAAAGGACCACAACAAAAAGGGCCAAGTGGGACGGTGGCTTGCACACAGAAATATCCAGAAAAATAAGGCAGAGACCAGAAGAGCATGCTAGTAAAGCCTTGTCTCTTAATAAGCTGCACTAATTTGGTGAACTTCACTGGGGCTCCTGGGGTCAGAGTTGTGTAGGGGTTAAGGATATAGGTAGTGAAAGTGGGTGCAAGAAGTGAGAAGGGCACGTTCTTATTAGTGAAGAGGATTCTGAAAGGTTGGAATTGGTTTCCAGGAAATGAGGGAGGGCTGTTCTGAGGTTTCCTTGGACTCCTCTGGAATCCCTGTTGTGAATATCAAAGGGGTGCTAGTGGTGAGGGGCAGTAGTTGGGGGGGGTCAGAAAGAGTGGGAAGACTGAACAAGCTGGGTAACTTGAAATTATGTGGGGTTCATTTGCTGTAAATCAGAGGCTGTCATTTCAGATTTCATGACTTTACATGTCCAGTTGTAAATAACATTCCTAGGTGTTAGTGGGACAAACACGAAGTGGGACAGCAGTCTCAAGTTTGGGAGATCTTCACAGGGAAGGTCGTCAGGTCCTGAAAGTGTCGCCAGGTCCTGAAAGGGTCGCATAGAGGGGAGAGAACCCATTCTCTTCTTGCCAAGTATAAAACAAAGCCTAGCTTTTCTCTCCAGAGAATGTTGTGGTGGTGGGGGAGGGAAAAGAAGGTGGAGGTCCCGGAGAAATTGCAAATGGGGCCAAAATGTGACTATGAAAGAAGAGTGAGCTTTTGATAATACCATTAAGAAAATCACGCAAGAAAAAAAAAAAAAAGATGGTTAGGTATTACCCCTATGTGGCAGCATCTGCCCTGCAGAACGAGAAGGTTTGCAAACAGACTTCCCAAACCCCAACCACGGCTCGCTCTGCCTCGAGGACCCCTTTTCTGCACCCCCACCTCAGCGCCCTCTTCCTGCACCCACAAAGAGAGTACTCAGTCATAGGGGTTCACCAGGAGAGAGGAGACAGAAGGTACAGGCGGTGAGCGGGAACTCAGCCATCATCTCACTCAGGTCTCTCCCTACCCAGCTGATAGAGCGAATCCCGAGTAATTGTTTTCCGAGGGGGTCCGTGGGCGCTCGGTGGCGCCGCCTCGGTCTGGGTTCCCCGGAGGAAAAATACCCACCCGCTAGGACACAGCGGCTTTTCGACTCGGCGGGGATGAACTGTGGCAACTTCTGCAGCCCCCACCGCGGTGCGGAAGCAGAGGCGGCAACATTGGCGACGGCGGCTCGGCGGGGCTGGAGCGCGTGAAGCCGTGGGGGCGCCGTGCGCCTCCCGCTTTCTGGTTTCGGCCGCGAGTCCCGGGACTCCGACTTGGGTGCTCCGGGTGGTAGCGGCTGCGGCGCCTGCAGTCCAGATCCTCGCAGTTCCGGGGGCGAAGAAGGCGAACGGAATCGTCCCCCAGTGGGGAGCGCAACAAGCCACAGTAGCCAAGCCCCTCGCTCCTGCCCCGGCTCCCAGGCGAACGCAGCTGCAGCGGGGGCCGGGCCCCGAGCCCCACGCCGCCGCCGCCGCCCGTGGTGAGGGGCGGGCTGGGGGCGGGGCGGCCGGGGCTGCCTTCCCCGGCGCATCCCCGAGCGCAGCACAGGCGCTGCCGAGCCACCTCCCCCGCCGCCCGCTAGCAAGTTTGGCGGCTCCAAGCCAGGCGCGCCTCAGGATCCAGGCTCATTTGTTTCCACCTAGCTTCGGTGCGCCCTGCTAGGCGGGGACCCTCGGGAGCGATGCCGGTGGATGTGATTTTAGTTGTGTGGTTCTGTGTGTGCACTGCCAGGACAGGTAAGCATGACGGTGGCGGTTAGAGGGATCCGGGAAACGGGGGTGCCCATAGCCCACGGTGGCGTGGGGAGACCTGGAGCCGAGCTCTACGCTGGTCTGGGGAACGGCGGTAGTGTGGATCGGTTCCTGGGATCTCTTTGCCCTGCTGGGAGTGACAGGGTGAGAAGAGGGACTCACGGGCTTGAAGATGTCCCCGTTGAGTGCCTGTTCTCAGGGGACCCGGCCTCTGGGGCGCAGGAGTGAGGGGCGCGGCCGAGCGGACGCACCCTCGGGCGGCTAGTAACCAGCTTTCTGTGCCAGGGAGTCGAAACCCGCAGCAGGGCGGGCCCGCGTGCCGCGTGTTCCCGAACTTGAAAGGTGCTGTGGAAACCGCTCTCGCCGACCCCCGCCAGGCTGGGAAGGGGTGGCTGCGGGAGTCGCACCCGCGGAGGGAGCGCTTCCGGCTGGCGGGTGCGGCCGGGGCCCAGGAGGGCGCGGTGCGGCGAGGGGAGAGAACTGCGGGAGAACCCTGGGATCCTGCGATCTCCTCCTGTCCCTTTCTGACTACCCAGGAGAACTCCAGGAGTATTCTCCTCCGCCCCGCTTTGCTCCCAAGGGTTGGGCGAACAATTATCTAAGGGAAATAGACCTGTGGAGACAATCCGAGGAGATTTTCTCAAGCTCAAACCAGTTTTCTCTTGCCATAATCGCAGGGTTCGGGGTGGGGAGGAGGAGCAAGGATGGTGCATGATTGTCTGAAGTCCCCACTTCGTTCTGCCTCCGGAGACGCAGTTGTGAGGACTCTCAGCGCATCTTCTTCCTTCTGCTTCCACCGGCTTCCTTGCCCGAAAGTCCTCTGGGGTTTGGAGACTGGCTTGCAGCCGCCTTCTTCAAAGAGCTAGTAGTAGATGCGCGGAGACTGGGGTGAGGTGAGGTGGGGTGAGATGTGGTAGGAAATGGGCAAAAATAGGGCCTGTCAACTAGGGGGAGTGTCGGAGGTTTGCAATCCTACCCAGCCATCCCTCCGTACGCGCTGCCGACTTTGCACCCTAGAATCTGTGTGGTCATTCCCTCTGCCTTTATTCTCCCCGATTTACCACCGTATTTCCTTCTCTATAGGCGTGGCCTTCTCTCCAGGCCAAAGAGCAAGTTCACCTGGAGAGGGCTGAGGGGGCGTCTGCCTTTGGTTGGCTCAAAAGTTCCCTCCGCTTGCGCCCAGGCGCCCCTCTTTGGCAATTAGCCCGCCAGAAGATCTAGCGTCTAGGAGCTTTCAGAGGACCCTTCCCACTTCCCCAGGACTAAGCAGGCAGCGGCTTTCGTCTGGTTAAGAGTGTTGAGTATGGATTTCTCCAGGGACAAAAGAAACCTCCCATTCCGTTCCTTACCTGGGAAGTTCCGAGCTTCCCAGGCTGCGGAGACGCCAAGGCTCAGTCTAGCTTAGAATAGTTACTTCTTGAGTTCAGGCCCATCAGAACGAGTTAGTCTTTTGAAACCAGAAAACGCTGAAGGAGTGCGCGCACCCCAGGAAGATCAGGACAGGCAAGACTAGTGCAGAGCGTGGGCTACCTGCTCTGAGCGCGAGAGTGCTGGTGGACATCTTGCAGAGGAACCGCAGACAGGGAGAAGCTTGAGAGGGAGGGGGCAACCCGTTAGTCAGTTCACCTCCCTAAGTGCACATCACTACGGAATATGCCTAAATCCTTTGTTCTCATTATTCTTTTGAAAAGTCGCCAAAGTTCCCTTATCACGGAATGCAAGGTGTTTCAGGGTTCATTGCTTGTGGAGGGGATCTTTAAGAGCAGGTATTTTCCCTCTTTCCACTTCCAATCCCCTTTAAATCATGTAAAAATTTGGTTGTAGGGAAAAATTCATTCATGTATTTATTCATTCAACAAACGATGTTTTGCTGGGTGCCAGTATTTCTTATGCAAAGAGGAAATGACTTAGTCCTTGACTTCTAGGAACTTACAGCTTAGCTGAGAATCTAGATAGGAACTGGCAGGCATTTTAATTTTACAGATTGATGGGGGGTGGTGAAGAGGTAGGAGTATAAGTTTGTATTAAGGAAATATGGAGGAGGGACAGTTTGAATTAATTCTAGGGAGGAGTGGTGGTCAGGAATTTGAGAGTTGTGCCTTCAAGGCTTTGTAGGGAGTTTTCCAGGTGGACAAAGTGGTAAGGCATTCTTGGCAGAGGGAACAGATTGAGCAAAGGCAGGGAAGCATGGAAGAATCTGACCCATTGATTGTGACTGTTGCCTAGGGAGCTTGGGTTTTCAATGCCCCTTGGCACTATTTGAACACTAGAGGTCACATATTTCTTCACACATTATCAGAAGAATCAGAGAGACGGGGGGAATTACCTCTCAATTTGTACACTTAAAATATCTTGTAGTTTGAGAGGGTATAAGCAGTAGCTTTCTGGGGGCAGCCGTCTGATTTTGTGCAGGAATCACCATTACCACACCATCCATCCACCTCTTAGGTAACAAAGGCTGGCTGGTGATTAGTTTATCAGCATCCAAACAGCTGCATGGAAAGTTTCTTTGTCAAGTGGGACAGTTGTTGTCTGGGCTGTTAACAGTCCTAGATGAAATAAACATGTGGTTCACTTAGTGAGCTGCTCAGATATCACCGCCTTTTAAAGGAACTGAGTAGATGATTATCAGGCACATTTTAATTAAAGAAAGACTGCAGTGCAGACACAGTTGCATATGAAAAGATCTAATGATAGGTATCACGAGGAGCTGCTTAAATCTGCCTTGTTCAGAGAACTCGTTTTAGAGTGCAGAGTGGAGTCAAGACGGGAGGTGCCATTCTCCAGTTCTTGTTATTTCTGGTTGAGAAATCAGAGATTTTCAGGTACATCACTCGTAATGAAAATTTAGAAGGCTACAATAACAGCAGTAATCACACACTATCTCTATGAGTTTTCGCCAATGCTTTGGCCGTGTGAATAATTGAAAACTCGATAATTACTCTCATTGCTTTCCAGTTTGTTTTGGTCACCAGGGTAGAGGGTGAAGGGAGTACCTACGCCTTCAAAGCCCCTACTGACTGAGTCAATGTCTTTTGCTGCCACCTGCTGGAAAGGAGAGATTTCTATTTTTTTGAGTTGGAGTTTTGCTCTTGTCGCCCAGGCTGGAGTGCAACGACCGGATCTCGGCTCACCGCAACCTCTGCCTCCTGGGTTCAAGTGATTCTCCTGCCTCAGCCCCCCAAGTAGCTGGGATTACAGGCATGCACCACCACGCCTGGCTAATTTTGTATTTTTAGTAGAGACGGGGTTTCTTTATGTTGGTCAGGCTGGTCTCGAACTCCCGACCTCAGGTGATCTGCCCGCCTCAGCCTCCCAAAGTGCTGAGATTACAGGTGTGAGCCACCGCACCCGGCTGAGAGATTTTCTTTTGGAAGGAACTCTCAGGTGGATCATTAATTATGAATTGAATAATGGAACTGTGAACATGAGCCCCCAGCCTCCAAGGATCGGGGAAAAAATATTGGCTAGCTTGGAACAGGCATAGAGCATATTCTTCAGGAAATTGCTTTTGGGGTATTAAGGACCTTTGTAGGTGCCCAGGGCCCCAAACCTGATTAAGTGGTTGTGAAATTCTGTGGTTAAATGAGCTCCTGGAGCATCATTCTAGCATTATTTTAGTCTGCATGGTCCAGAGGAAAACAACTTCCACCATGGACAATGAGCAGGAGTAAATTTAAAGTCAGCCAGACCCAGGAGGATTTGCTGGAAAGCCTATGTCTGGGACCCCAAAGGTGAACTGAGTGGACTGTGGGCCCGAGCATTCCCTGGGTGGGGGTGAGGAGCAGCCAATAGCAGCAGCAGCAGGAGGAGGAGGAGCAGGTATCTTTGTTAGGGTAGAGGTTCTGAATTCTAGAGTCAGGCCTCAAGTGCCTCTGTGACATTGACATGCTGCCTTCCACGTTTTTAAAATATTTCTTCCCCAGGAGCTTTTTATCTTGCTTAATTGTAATTCACAATTTCAGCCATTTGTAGGGCCGTTATGTCCAAAGTAGAAAACTTTGATAGAGTTTCCTAGGAAAGGGCAGGAGCTCCATGCTTGGACAAGAAGCAGAAACATTAAAAAAAATTTTTTTTATGAGACCACACTCACACTACATAAGGTTCAAGAGAGCCCATGTAAATGCTGCCTTATTAATAGCTTTTCTCATTCCCTAGGCAGTATGCAAAGTGCTATCCTTTACACATCCTGCTATGGGCACGAGGCATTTTCATCCTGGTGGGGACTAATTAAAGGGAGAGAAGAAAACTGTATCCAGAAGCCTAATTGATTTCTCTTTTTTGACTCTGTTTTTATGAGGTGTTTTATTTTAATTTTTTTATTATGAGGTGTTTTCATAATAAAAGCAATACATTTATCTTTAAAGCCAGAGGAGCTCCTTCACTTTTGAGTTGTGGGCAGGGAGTTGGGGAGCGAATATAGATTTCATATATGGATTTTACAAGCAAACCCAGGGTGAGAGGCCCTTCTAGGTCAATTGGGTATGGAGAGGGGCTGGGAGGAAAGGGGCCATCTGTACCTTTTGTGTGATTCCAGTGGAGTTGAGGACCAGGGAGCTGCAGTGGTCTGGAGAATTGGTCTTTAATTAAAGACAGATGAAACAACCCCCAGCTGGGCACCACTTATGTGCCAGATTGAGCTGCTGAAGTGTGAATATAGTTTCCCCTGAGACCTCATGAGTCTGGTGTAACAGGTACCAGTATCTTTTTACACATGGTAACCCAAAACATGAAATTTCCTATAGCAGGAGATATGAAGCCACCCGTGTTATCGCTGATGTGGAGTACTAGAGTTCTGAAGTCTCTGCTTCAGCAATTCCTTCAGGGAGGCAGGTATTAACATTTCTATTTTATGGATGAGGAAACTGAGGCCTGATAAATGAATGCTTTTTTAAAGGGCACAGAGTTAGTAGAGGGAAGAGACTGGGCTGAAACTGACTCTCACTTTAGTGTTGGTTCCACGGTACTTTCTGGATTGAGGGCACTGTGTTCTCATTTGGGGGTGGGGATTCAAGGACACCATTGGGGTGTTCTGCTAGTTCTACAGGGTTTGTTTGGGTGATTTGAAGCCTTGCCCAATTAATTGCAGGGCTCTTAGTCTGGAAGATTTGAGCATCTTAAGGATGCCATCGTAGAAGAATTTTTGTCCCTGTATCGGTCAATATTGCCATAATAATTTTGTATGACAAATAACCCAAAACTCAGTAGCTTGAAGCAAACCATTGATTTTAGTTCACAGATCTGTAAATTGTGTTTGGTGTTGGCTTATCTAGGCTGCATTTGGCTGGGCTTGGTTTCAAACTCAGGTAGGCTGCTTGCTCAACACTTCTAGGTCTCCTTGGACCAGTTGGCCAGCAGGGACATGTTCTTATCATGATGAGGAAGTAGACGAGAACAAACCCCACTGCGCAAGCGTATTCAAACCTCTGCCTGCATAATGTTACTAACATCCCAATGGCCAAAACAAGTTATGTGGCTGGCCTCAAAGTCAAGAGATGGTGAGGTTTACTCCCATTCTAGTGGAAGGAACTGCAAAGCCACACAGTAAAGGCTGTGGATATGAGATGGGTAAAGATTTGAGGCCAATATTCAGTCAACCACTGTCCTTTTAGAAAGTTTCCCTGGCTTGCATGTCATCCGTCATCTCATACTATGCCGAGATATGCTTATTGCTCAGAGGTCATTGCACCCAAAGTATTGATCATGCACCAACTCATTAGATAATTAATCAGGTCCTAAGTTCAGAGCCTGCCTGCCATCTCTCCAGGCCTGTGAAAGGTACTTGGGCAACAGGGGTGCTTCCTTCTTGCATCTGGTGAAGGCGCATTCCCCAGACCACTTTCCAAATTCCTGGCTAAAGAAACACCAATTTGGAGGCCCTTCGAAATTTAATTTCTGCCCTTAAACATAAACTTTAAAAACCTCCAATTATATCTCAGAATTAGAATAACATCCAAGCTCCTTGTGGGTCACAGGCCTTCTATGATCTGGCCCTTCTCTCTCTCCCTCTTTGGCCTCTTTTCTTTTCTTTCTTTCTTTCTTTTTTTTTTTTTTTTTGAGACAGAGTTTCACTCTGGCACCCAGGCTAGAGCGCAGCGGTGCTGCAGGATCTGCTTCCTGGGTGCAAGCGATCCTCCTAAGTAGCTGGGACCATAGTGTACGCTACCATGCCCGGCTAATTTTTTGATCTTTTTGTAGAGATATGGTCTCCCTATGTTGCCCAGTCTGGCCTCAAACTCCTGAGCTCACACAATCCTCCTGCCTCAGCCTCCCAAAGTGTTAGAGTTACAGGTGTGAGCCACTGTGCCTGGTTGGCCTCATTTTCTACTTCTCTACCCCTGGCCCATTCAGTTTCAGCCATGCTGGCCTTTTTTCTGTTCTTGGGACACTCCCAGTCTGTTCCTCATTTGCATGTACCGTTCTCTGCATGTGGAAAGCTTCCTCCCATCTTGCCTTTTCTAGTCATTTAAGTTGCAGCTCAAAAGAACCTTTTCCAACCCGCCTTTCTAAAGTAGGGCCCCCATCCAAGTTGTTTTCTATCCTGTTACTCTATTTTATTTTCTTCACGGTATTTATTGCCATCTCAGATTATCTTATTAATTGGCTTATTTTTTGCCCTCCCCTCACCTAACCCACGGAAAGCGAGCTCCATGAGCACATCTCCAGTGCCTAGCAATGTGTGTGCTATATAGTACACACTCAGTAATACCTGTTGAAAAAATTATGAGATGAATGAATGCAGAGTGAATGGAAGGAAGACATCTTTGGGTCAACTGGAAGGGGAAAACTTAAATCTTCAGTTCAGGGGACAAGGGGAAGCCTGACAGAAACTGAGAAGGCAGCTAATAGACATTTTGTTTGCCTTGGCAATAACGGGTGTCAGCTCTAAAGAGGCCTTCCTGATCGACCATCTGTCGACAGAAGCCTAGCAGGTCCTGTTTCCTAACAGGGAAAGAATAAGGAAAGAGTAGATTTCCTTCTGCAAGCCTATAGGACCAGGGGTTAAGGTGGGAGGACAGGTGAGGTTGTGATAGCTTATGATGTCCCAGTGAACATTCACGCAGTGGGTGCAAGCCTTCCAAATCTTGTCTCAGTGACTGCATTACCATCAGATGAGAGTTGACAGCTGTTGCTGATTAAAACATTTCCAACAGCACAGTCAAAATTGCACGATTGAAATGATGAGTGTAGATGGACACAGCCTTTATGAATGGCTTAAACACAGCCCCTTAGAGTGATCACTAGCCTTATTAATACATATAGTTGGAAATCACTTTGCAATCATGAATGAATCATTCCTCAGAGCACCCCCTGGGTGAGAGGCGTCTTTAGGGGTTTGTCTTAGACAAGGGAAGAGGAGGCTCAGGGCTGTGTTTCTCTGCACTAAGGTTCTCTAAAAAGAGTTATCAGGGTATCTGACTTTCCAACCAGGAATCCCCTTGGATGGAAATATATATCCATTATTCCAGGGATTCTCCTTCCTGGGCAGTCCCTCTGCCACCCTTCTTCAACAGGAACAGGGTCCTTTTCCACTTTTTTCCTCCTCAGCACAGGTGATTGTGCCTGATTAGTTAGGGAACCCTTTGTGGAGGTGTTTACTGGTGGTGGTGGTGTCAGATTTTGCTGCTGCATCTGTCTCTGAGGCAGGTGGATCAGGGCCACAATCTTGTATCCACAGTCACCACCTCTATAAAGCTTGGAAACCCAGTTTTTTCATAACTCACCTGACTGCAAAACCTATCCTGAGTTGAACTCATTTCATGGCAAGACTTGATCTAAACTGATATCAACCTATTTATAATCTTTATTTATGCCAATTAGAGAAGTATGTCATACTTTTTGCTTCAGAAATACTGTATTTGATTATGGGGTGCTGAGTTAGATTTTGCTAAAAATGTTACATAAAATGTAGTATATAGGCCATATTACCTTTCTAACATATGGCACCTTCTGAATTCTGGATATTTAACCTCAGGAGTTTTGGATAAGAAATTATCAATCTATAATGTGGGGTAGGATTGGGGGAAGGAACAAAGAAACTACAGTATTGGCGGGGTAAGGGAGCAAAGATTTGCTTTTCTTTTCCCTCCATAGACAAAGACTTTCCAAGCACTCATCATTGGCTTCCTTGTATTACCTGCCACTCCCTGACTCTGTAACCTCTGCTCTGTAATGCTACTAACAGTCTGCATTTTAAGCCCAAACAACTCTTTGTTCCTTTACAGTGGTGGGCTTTGGGATGGACCCTGACCTTCAGATGGATATCATCACCGAGCTTGACCTTGTGAACACCACCCTTGGAGTGGCTCAGGTGTCTGGAATGCATAATGCCAGCAAAGCATTTTTATTTCAAGGTAAAGGCACCTCCTTTCCTGCATGGTGGCAGAGGTTGGGGAGGAGGGTCTGCCTGGGGGGTGCTCATCTGGTGTGTGTTTGTCTGGAGATCACCTTTGCTATTTCTCTTGTGTTGCTGTCCTGAGTGCTTAGATATGCAGGGGGTATTATTCTGAGGGCAGGAGGGAGGCATTGGAGATCATGGTGAAATATTTGGTTTGGCAGTGAAATATTTCCTTGATTTTGGTGAGGATCTAAAATGGAATGAATTTATAAAATACTTGAAAGTAATTGACCAGCCATATTATTGTTACAGGATATTTCTCTAGCTGTTATCAATTGCCTTTGCCTGTACTTATACCTATACCTATATTTACATCTTTCATCTAGTGGATAGGCCATAAGGACAGAGGAAAACTTATGGCTGCGTTCTCCTTGGGGTAGAACTTACTCAGTTCTGCCCACTATAAGCTGGACTACAGTTCATTAAATCATTCAGCAAGCATTTATAGAGAAAACATGGTGTGGTTCTTAGAAGCATGGTGTTTCTCACAATTTTGGAGGCTGTGAAATCCAAGAATAAGGCATCAGCAGATTTGGTACCTCGTGGGGGCTGGCTCTGTCTGCTTCCAAGATGATGCCTTGTTACTGTGTCCTGTGGAATGCTGTGTCCTCATATGGTGGAAGGGATGGAAAGGCAGAAAAATAACTAGCTAGTTTCCTTTCTAAAGACACTAATCCATTCATGAGGGCAAAGACCTCATAATTTAATCACTGCCTAAAGGCCCCACCTCTTAGTACTAATGCACTGGGAATTAAGTTTTAATATGAATTTTGGTGAGACACAAATATTCAAATCAGCAAAGTGATATGTCAACAGATAGTTAAAAAATGGATAGAAAGCCTGGTATAGGAAGGGGTGGGGTCTCGGAGCATTCTGAATAGAGGGAATAGTATGTGTAAAGGTAAGGCAAAAGCATGGCGGAAGGGTGGTGAACGTCTGGAGGGGTAGACAGGGACTAGGTTACATGGGGCCCTGTTGGCAGAGCTGATACTCTGCTGAGGTGTGTGGGTTTGGGTGTACTGATGATTTATGGCTGGTGTCCAGTTTGATAGGTGGGACGCCATGTACTTTTTGTTGCCTGTTTTAAGTATTACTCTTGCCTGTAGGCCAGTTAATGGCTTTGTGCTTTACTCTCAGAGAAGTGGGGCCTTTGTAGAGGTTTAAACCGGGAAATGAACTGACCAGGTACCATAGTAAGGCAGCCTGGATATTCCTCTATGAAAATGTCTGGCAGGGTTCTTTTAACTGAGCCTTTTATGATGATAATAAAAGGATTATTTTAGCATGGCTGAACCAACATAATAGAATGAGATTTACATATTTACAGTGCAGATAACTTAAGATGTTAATGATATATAGCAAATCTACAGTTATTATGTAATATATAACAAGACTATGGACATACTAATTTTCACTTGCTCCTTACTAATGAACTGGTGAAGTATGTAAGCTGGGTATGGTTAAAAGAGTAGAATGAATTACTTTGTTTTTGCATTGTGCGAGATCTGCCCAGTCACTGTTGAGAGTCCATACCTTTCTTGATCTGAGCAAGGCTGCTGACACTTTGTAAACAAAGTTGCTATGGAAACCTGACTGGTCTGTAAGCTTGAAAAAGGCAAGAGTCCTGCAAATCTAGATACTCCTAGATCCTCAGGGCCAACTATTATACATGAAGCATAGTAGGTGATGAATAAACATTTTGAATGGAATTAAAATTTCTTTTGTACTATGTACCTTATAAAAAAGCTTACTGCTTGCTTTAGTCACTACTATTCATTCATTCCACAAGTGTAGGTAGGTCCCCTGAGCTGGAACTCTACTCTCTAATCTGTGTAATCTCTGTTTTGGCAACTGTCTCTGTGATGTCTGTCCAGCTACAACAACTGGGAGGAATTTTCAGCTTCTTCAAGGGGAAGAGTAACTTCTTTATGGAACTTTGACAAAGAAGGCCTTTCTCTTATATCCCCTGTGATTATATTGGGCTCACCTAGAAAATTCAGGATAATCTCCCCCATCTCAAGACCAGTAACTTAATCACATCTGCAAATCCCTTCTGTCATGTAAGGTAACATAATCATAGATTCTGTCAATTAACACCTGGACATTTTTGGGGAGCCATTATTTTGTTTATCACAAAGTCTGCCCTCTAGATCCAGAAGATTCATGTCTGTCCCACATGCAAAATACATTCACCCCATCTGAGTACCTCAAAAAGTCTTAATCCATCATAGCAACAACTCAAAGATTGAAATCTCCCCTAATCTCAGCTGAAAAATTCTACCTCTCATTAAGTAATCTAAATCAGATATGGGAGAGACAGTGGGTATAATCCATTTTGGGGAAAAAATTTCTCTCTATTGTGGTCCTATGAAACTGAAAAACAGGTAATCTGCTTCCAAAATACAATGGCAGGATAGACATAAGATACCAGTTATAGATATTTCTGTTCCAAAGGAAGGAAATGGAAAGAAGAAAGGAGTCACTGGTCCCAGACTCTTGTGAAAATCAGCAGTGCAAACTCCACTGGGTTCAAGTCTTAGAAATAATCCTCTTTGGTTTTGGCTCTGTCTTCTGGCTTGTGGCTCATTCCTCTGAGACATTGTTCGTTTTTCGTGAATAATAGCATTTGTTTGCAGTTGAGTAGTTTTATCAGCTTGTTTCCTGCCTGTAAAGTTTTGGGGGTTTGTCAGACATCTTTCATGGTGTCCTCTCTCAGTCTTCTTCAGTACAAATTGGCAGGGTTTCTGTTGGTATAATATTGTCAAGAAACTTGAAGGTCTCCTGTCTACTAGACAAGCAGCTTATCCACAGATCTGCCCTGGATAATGCTGTCTCTATTCCTAACTACTTCTGAGATGACTGAAGGGAATCCATGACTCACATACTGATCTCTACAAAGAGGCCTGTAGGTGATTGAATATTTTGACCTTTTGATCCTTCCAAGGCACTATCAAAAAGTTGTTTAGCCACAACTTGGCTCTAGAGCAGGCTTTCCTGATAGTGTATCTCCTTTTATTGTCTTCTGCAATCTGCATAGGCTGAGAACTCCCTGAATTATCAAGTCCTGACTCCTTTTTGCTTAACAGCTCTTCTCTCAATCCCTCACTTTTCTCTCACATTTTGCCATAAACAGCAAGAAGAAATCAGACTGTACCTTCAACACTTTGCTTGGAAATCTCCTCACCTAAATATCCAAGTTTATTTTACTTTCCACCTAACTACAGGACAAAATGCAGATAAGCTTTCTGGCATCAGGTAACAAGGATCCCCCATCTTTGGGTATTCATTCAGTAATATGTCCCTCATTTCCTTTTAAGCCTTTGCTGGGACCACTTTTAACATCTATATTTATTTTTAACTCCCTGTTGAAGGCAATTGGCCTTTTCTACCATGCTCATTAAAAATTTTCCAGGCTCTACCCTATTACCCAATGCCAAAGCCTCTTCCACATTTTTAGGTATTTGTTACAGCAGCACCCCACTTCCAGTTACCTAAAGTTTGCATTGGTTTCTTACTGGTGCTGTAACAAATTACTACAAATGTAGTGACTTAAAATAAATTTATTATACTTCTAGAGGTTATAAATTCAAAAAGAGATTTATGGGTTTAAAACTAAGGTGTTAGGCATGTTCTCACTCATAGGTGGGAACTGAACAATGAGATCACTTGGACTCGGGAAGGGGGACATCACACACCGGGGCCTATCATGGGGAGGGGGGAGGGGTGAGGGATTGCATTGGGAGTTATACCTGATGTAAATGACGAGTTGATGGGTGCTGACGAGTTGATGGGTGCAGCACACCAACATGGCACAAGTATACATATGTAACAAACCTGCACGTTATGCACATGTACCCTAGAACTTAAAGTATAATAATAATAATAAATAAATAACTAAAAAAAAAAACAAAAACAAAAACTAAGGTGTTAGTAGAGCTGTGTTCTTTCTGGAAGCTCTACTGAATATTCATTCAGTTCATTGCCTGTTGCAGCTTCCAGAAATTGCCATATTCCTTGGCTCATGGCTGCATCAGTCCAAGGTCGACTTCTGTTGTCACATTTCCTTCTCTCTGATTCTGTCGTCATATTGTCTTCTCTGATACTGACCTTCTGTCTTCCATTTTCCCTTATAAGAACTCTTGTGATTATATTGGAACCACCCAGATAATCTAAGTATTCTCAAGATTCATAATTTAATCACATCTGCAAAATCTTTTTTTGCTGTATAAGATGACATAGTTACAGGTTCTGGGGATTAAAATATGAATATCTTTTGGAGCCCATTATTCTATCATAGAATGGCTAAGCATTGTTGGCCATAAATATGAACATAATGATGTTTCCTGAGTACTACAATTAAATCTTCCTTTTTCTAGTTCAGTACTGTTCAATCAAAATGTATTGTAAGCTCCATCTTTAATTTTAAAATCTGTAAGAGCCACATTAAAAAAGTAAAAAGAAACAGGTAAAATTAATTGTATATTTTATTTAACCCAATATGTAAAAAATATTATTTAGACATATGGTCAACACAAAAATATATTAATAAAATATTTTACTTTTTAAAAAAAAAAGTCTTCAAAATTAATTGATATTTTACACTTAAAACACATTCCAATTTGCATGCTAAATTTTTAATCTGTAGTAACTGATATGTATTTTGATTTCATAAAATTTATAGTTAAAAAAGTAGATTCGTCAAATTATTCTGTACAGAATTATTAGATTAAAAAATTAAACAGGTTTATTGAGGTATAATTACACTATAATAAACTGTGTGTATTCAAAATATACAACTTGGTAATTTTAATATACAAATATACCTGTGCAACTATCATCACAATCAAGAAAAATGAACATACTTATCACCCAAAAAGTTTACCTTTTTTCTTATATAATTGCTCCCACCTACCTCTCCCAACCTCCACTTCTAGGCAACTATTGATCTGCTTTCTG